GAGAGGCGCTTCACTGGCTCGGGCGGGCGGACGGCGGCGGCCGCGCTCCTCTCGCTCCTCAGCTGCGGGGACCGAGAGAGGGAGCTGTGCCTGAGGAGACGCCAAAATCCCCCTTAGCGCTGCCCGCGGGAGGGGGAGGGGGAACAAGATGGCGGCGGCCGGGGGGGCGGGAGTTCAGCTCATGGATCTCGGCGGGCGGCGGAGGGGAGACCGGGCCGGCGGCGGCTGCGGCTGCAACGGGCGGGGGAGGGGGCAGGTCCCGCGTCTCCCCTCAGCAGACAATACAAGCGCCTCAGAGCGAGCCCCCGAACCTGCCCTAGCCAAAATGGCGGCTGAGAAAGAGCGGAAGTGACGTAAGTGCTCATTAGCATAAGAGGACTCATTGTCCAGCTGAGTGTGTGTGTGGGGGGGACGCAGTACCCTTTCCACACGTGTCCCCAGGGACAACTCTCTTACTCCCAATTATGCTGGCACCTAACTTTTTCTGAAGGAGGGTGGCGCCAGCACCCCACCACCCCGCCTAAGGAAAATTATATAATCCCCACTGAGGAAGAAATCTCGCGAGAACCAAGAGGATTTGCTATTGACCCACTAGGAGGCGCCGCAGATAAAGGCCGCAGTGCGCTTCCAGGGCCCGTGTGCAAGGCAGGCGCCTTCCACTGGCCGCAGCGCCGGCGGCGGAGCACAAGCCGAGGGCCGCAGCACCCCTCGCACTCAGTCAGGTGGCCGTGCTGGGATCCCTGCGCGGGCCCAGCTGGGCCTGGACTACATCTGGCGGGAGGGGGCGTGTGGGCAGCCCTGAGGCACCACGTGCCGAGAGCCCCAGCTCTCAGTGGCTGAGCAGCAGCGGGAAGGGCAGGGACACCTGGCTGGTGGTGTCTGATGCTCCAGCTTAAATGAGGTGTGAGTGCCTCGTGCTTCACACACGGACTGGAGATGAGAAGCAACCCCATGGGTGATGCCCGAACCCTTCCTGGTGGGGTGGGCTGTTCAGTGGACAGGGGCTGTGTTTTACAGAAGGCAGGCTGTTGCCCTGCGACTTGACATTCTTCCAAGGCAGTGATGATGGACTCTTCTCTTTGGCCTGAAGAAAACAAATGGGATCCCTAGCGTTTTGAGGCCATTAGACTGGTGAAGCCTAAGGATGAGAAATGATGTTGCCAATGGACCTCAAGATCCTTAAAAACTACACTTTGACTGTATAGTTCTAGGGACAGTCACTTTTAGTGCTCCCACAATCTGACAACTTCAGACAGCACATGGACAATTTGCCTTTGTCAACCCCAACCAACACATTATCTCCTCAACATTTTTTAACCCACCTATAATAGCAGGACGCATCTGAGAGTATATCATTGGCTAAACATACTGAAAAATACTAAATGCCAATAGTGAAGGATGAACCAAGCCTGTTTTCTAAAGATGTGCTCTATAAATACACTTAACTTTTGCTGTTACTCTAAATTTCAAGGTAACAGTTTCAAGCCATACCCCAATACCCCCCCAAAATCTTACCTTAATTGAAAATAGTACAAATTATGGTTACATGTAGTCAATGTAACCTGAGTTAGCAGATTTAACAAAATGTGTCATCCAACACAGTATTTCATTCATTTCGGAAATTGTGATAAAATACATCCTTAAAACCCAAATCAGTATTTCAAAGGAAAACAATAGCTGAAAAAAGTTGTAAAAGAAAAAGGGGGGTAGGGGCACAAAGCATTTGGTTTAGAGAGACAAAGATGACTCAATTACATGTTGCAGAAGACAGGCAAAACTAACATGAAATAAGCAAATTTTTTAATCTTAAGTTTAGCTTTCCTTAGATATACTTATATTTCATAGTGATAATACTAAGGGAGAACATCTGGATTTCATCCTTGGCCTCATTCACAAAGTAAAAAGGGATGCTGGATTCACATGTAAATGATTTTAGTGTTTTAAGTCACCACATTTAGTACAAAAATGTATCTAAATAGTCTAGATTCTTTTCTAATAACTTCCAAATGGTGAAAGTCTTCACTGCTCAAATACTTTCTTTATTGTAAACTTCAATGTCATAATGTTGTAATGATTGTTTAAGAAGTGAAAAGATTAAAAAGGCAAAAGGTATCTACTCTAGTGGAGGTCTGAGAAGGCATTACTTCTAGTGGGTTCTCTGAGGTACTTAGTTCATCTCTGCTCCAGATCCTTGACAATGAAAACAACTTTGGGTTTGGATGAATGAGAACAGATTCTAAATACTTTTTAAAAGGATATTGTATTTCTTTATGTTAGCTTAAAAGCAATTTTACATAAAACATTGATGATTTTTCTAGTAATTAATGATGAGAGAAGTCCTGAAGAAGGTGGATCCCTGGTGCGCCCTGCACAGCTCTGTGTAAAAGGGAAATGCAACAGTAGAGGCCCTTACTGGAATGTCCCCTATGGATTCAACTATGGCAGTGGTTCTCAACCTTCCTAATGCCATGACCCTTTAATACAGTTCCTCATGTTGTGGTGACCCCCAACCATAAAATTATTTTCGTTGCTATTTCATAACTGTAATTTTGCTACTGTTATGAATCGTAATATAAATATCTGATATGCAGGATGAATTTTCATTGTTAAAAATTGAACATAATTAAAGCATAGTGATTAATCACAAAAACAATATGTAATTATATATGTGTTTTCCGATGGTCTTAGGCGACCCCTGTGAAAGGGTTGTTCGACCTCCAAAGGGGTTGCGACCCACAGGTTGAGAACCGCTGAACTATGGGAATAGGCAATGTTCAAAATGGCACCAATGGTTTAATACTCTGGTATTCATTTCTGGTAGGATCTGTTAGAAATGGAAATGAAAAAAATCAAACTTTAAATTTCTTGACGTTAGCAGCCAAATTAAACCAGGGAAATGTAATTAGGAATACTGTTCACTAATTTTTTATTAAATAACTTAGAGATGCCTCTTCCTTTTATTTGCAAAGGAAAGTCAACTTGATCTTAAGCTTATATGCCCATAATATGCCTTACCCAAAAATTTAAAAGCTACTTCATGATCCAAAAGCTATGTTACAGTTAGAGACTGATCATTTTTGAAATACCTACTTTGGAGAAGGTGAACAGAATATTTGCGCTGGCTTTACTAACCCGTTGAGTGCCAGCCAATATCCTAGGAACTATGCTAAAATTGCCAAGGCATTTTGAGTTAAGATTTTAAAATTTTTTTTCCCACATAAAGAGTGAACTACTAGCATCTAATAGTGACACTGCAGGAGGAGCGCGATAGCGCTCCCAGCACTTTTGGCGAAAGACAGGAGGAGCACGATCGCGCTCCCAGGCACTCTAGGGGCTAAACAACTTAACCTGCATTTAAACTATCAGAACATTTTTCTGAACAGAGAGAAAAACTATAAGAAAGGAACTTTTGTTTTTTTATAGTAAAGATGTATGCTTTTTTGAGGGTCCTGAAATAATATGAAAAGAATTATTTTGTGAAAGAAAATCATTATTTAGTTTGTAAGAGCAACTACATTTATGCTTTAATATCATCAACATTTTTCTTTACTGATAGAAGTTATTGCTCAGAAGAGCAAACACAGCTATGCTATCAACTGTTGTCAAGTTGTTTCCAATTCAAATATATATTTTAAATAGACTTGCTTTGACAGTTGAATTGCTTCACCAATTCAACAGCTGCAAAGAACCAAACTCTAAAACTGTGCTCTAAATGTATTGTTTTATCTGATTTAAGAAATTTCAGATACATTTTAAAAGAAAGGGGAAAGGTGTGTATTTCTTTTTCAATTCACACAGAAACAGTCATATATATTTCATGAATAAGCATTCCTCTTCTGACATATATTAGGTACAAAGAGTTAAGAATATAGTTTTTATAGAAAATATTCCAAAATCTTCCCCCTGTAAGAAATTCTGCATCACATACTCTAATGAAAGCAGCAATATTTTATGCAAAAAACCCATATGCATTTATTTGTAGGTCTTAATACAGCAAAATGTTAAAGAAAACTGAGAACACTGCTCATTTTTCTATTTTAATATATAAAATGGAACTTCTTCAGAAAAAAAGATTTGCATGAAATTTACCTTACCTATAATTTATGCTCTAAGAGTACATTTTATAAAAGTCAGCAACCAGGCTTCCTCTATGTTTAAATTGAAATGAATGTGATAAATAAGAATAACTTTCTTTTATGTAGTTGCAAAGAGAGTCAATAATCCTTTCAAGAAAGAGACTATTTCATTTCCTCCCAACTTGGATTCACCGTAAACACGATCCACAAATGTTATTGGAACCTAGTTAAAAAAATATATGTTAAGTCAGTCTTCAAAAATAGTAGAAAGGAAGCATAGCAGGCATATAAAAATTACTAATACAACCAAAACAAGATTAGTTCTATGATAGCAATTCCTTTAAATTGAAGCAATTCCTTCAATTCTCACAGCAACTCTGCACCTCCTCCAAGTCTTTAAAATTAAACAGGCACTTTATTATCTAAAAATGGGCTATTATCAACCAAATCGACATCTGTTTGAAAGCATTGATCCTGCATATTAAGTTGGTTTACTCAAGTTTGACTGCATTTCAAGGAAAAATTATACTACAAAAGTAAAATAGCCTTCCACTTAATTTTTTCATTAGTCTGTCAAATTTAGCTGTCACTATGTTTTAGTATTAAGTTAAAAATTTTGTAATTTTCACAAGAGACGTGGCATTCTAGTTAGCTACTTCCTGCTCTGAGAAAGAGTCTTAGTGTTAAACAAGGAGAGTATTCCCTAAGAGTTCACGAGCTAGCTGTAAATATTACAGACCCTTATCTCCTCCCCCGCGCTATACCTGTGCTTTTCGTTTACTCATAGGAAATGGGCAATGGAACTCAGCATTCACTTTTAAGTTGGATGGGTGTGGACTATGGCAAGAGGAAAAGCAGTGAATACACTCATCCCAGAATGCTGAGTGGTCAGAAGAAAGGGCAAGGATGGAGAAGATACCAGTAACTTTTAATTATTTAAAAGGGAATGCTGCCTTTCTGTTAATCTTGGTAGGTCAAATGTATTGCTGTGAAAGGGATGTGAATTTTCACCCATTAGTGCATGGGCATTCCCAACAGCTGGAAGCCTTTCACATTTATTTGGTAGTTATGAAAATTAAACTTTTTACAATGAAAAGTCTAAACCTTATTATTTATGAGGACTACAATATACTATTTACAATTAATTGCATACCTCGCCAATAGTATAATTCAACTGTCTTGCTCGAACAATCATTTCCATCTGGAAAACGTAGCCTTTAGAAACACATTTTTCTATTAATTTCTGTAGAACTTCTTTTCGATATAACCTGTATGAAATTTAAAAATATATATAAACACCTAGATAAATACACTTGTCTACATACATCCTGATCTTTCAAAAAGTTCACTGGTGCTCTAGCCGGTTTGGCCTGCGGACCGAAGGGTCCTGGGTTTGATTCCGGTCAAGGGCATGTACCTTGGTTGCAGGTTCCTCCCCAGCCCGGGCCCTGGTCGGGGCTCATGCAGGAGGCCACCAATTGATGTGCTTCTCTCACATCGGTATTTCTCTCTGTCTTTCCCTCTCTCTTTCACTTTCTCTAAAAATCAATGGAAAATAGCCTCAGGTGAGGATTAAATTAAAACAAAAAGTTCACTGGTATTTTTAAAACCTCAAAATTTTACTAGTCATCATATATAGTAAAAGCATAGTATGCAATTTGTCCCCTCGACCAGAGTTCTTCCAGGAGTTTGACCAAGGGGTGGGCCGGCAGGGGGGAGGGAGGCCCCGGCTAGTAGCCAGCCGCTAGGGACCCTACCAGTGCACGAATAACAGTTGATATACATTTGTCCTGAAACAAACAGAAGGGTCATGAAATATCTTGTAAATAATTTAGAAAATGAATTCTTAGTATCTTGTAGAGAATTATTTTCCTACCATACTATCAGAAATTATAAAAATATAGTACATTATTCAAAGCAGAACCACCTATTGTGTTTAACTCTTAAAATTAATTTTTAAAGTGGAAAGAGTAGAAATTGTTCGAAAAGTTGGAACAATAGAGTTGACAGATGATGAAGCAACAATATAAACTAGATGACAAGAAAGACTCTAGTAATTAACAGGGATTTCCTCATAAATGTTCATGATGAGCTTCTATTTCTGGAGATCTACTAAATAAATTTCCCGGGACACACTAGCCCCTCCAGGATTAGGTTGGTTAAGTTAGGTTAAGACAGGAACTGGGAGGCAATCCTGGTTGGACACAGCTATCACCAGTCAGATGTCACAGTTAGATACTTATAATGGGGGAATGAATGTGCAGTCTAACTGTAGTGGACTGTAGGCTAGACACAGAGCTCATCAGATTTACAAAGCAAGACAGGAGCAGGGAAATCCTGTGCTTGAACCCAATCAGGAGCTCCCTGTTATCAGTCTCTTAGGTAAACAAACAAATAAGCAAACAAACAAAACCGCCAAACAGTCTCAATAAAAAGGCAGCAATTTCTCTTTTTTGGGAGCAAGTTAGGAGAGGCAGTTTGGCATAACTTTGTTCTCTTCCCAGTTAAAGGCCATCTGGATTTACAATGCCTGAGGGTAACCCATATTCACTTTTTTCTCAGGCTTCCTCTAGGGAACACTATCTTTTTTGGCTTTTCAAGCTTTTAAGTGGATATTAAATGACAGAGAGAGGAACCTGAGAATGACTAGTTTGTGCACTCTTTTACCCACACAGGTCCCATAAGAATTCAAAAGTATAAGCTTGGAATAAATCTAAAGTGAGGAGAAATGGATGGTAGAATATTTAGTCAATAAGTATTTACTAAGCAACCTACTGTGTTTAAGGCTCCTTTTTATGTTTTAGGATTTTAGCAGTAGAAACTAAATAAATTTATCACATAAAGTTAATTAAATAGGGGAGGGATATTGGGATTATGGGAAAGACTATGATCATGATGGGATATTTCAGCATCACATTTTAAACTGGGTTTTGGCTAGGAATTCTGCCCCGTTAAGTCATTTTATTCCTCATAAAGAGTTATTTTGTAAGACATTTATTTCTCTTTATTGCCACCCCTTCTCCACCACAGTAGCTTTAAAACTATGGCTAATGATGTAATACTGCATACATGAAGCCATGAGCCAATAAATAGGATAATTAGGATCCAAGTGGTCTTCGCTATTAAATGGCTTTACATCAGACTGCAGTCTTTCTGGGTTCCCTTTTACTTGGTAAAAGACACATACCTCCTCAATACTAGGAACTTCATCTAATGAGAAGTTGAACTTTAATAAAACATGTATTTAATAAATCACTACCTTATGAAGGGACAATGAGCTCTAATGATTTAAAAGTAGTGAAATCAACAGGCTCACTTTTGCGTGTGGCTGTTCTGATATTTGCACAGAATACACTCAATCACTGCTCTCTCTAAAAGGACACCCAGAGCTCACCCCCTCCTCTATTCCCTATATGGTCTGGTGGCAATGAGATGCTGCCACCCAATCCTCTCTCTGCTGTGTTTTTCTTCACAACTGGGTCCCCATGTGATGCTGCAAGTCTCATGTCATTAGAATGTATAAACATGAGGACAGTGCTTGGCATGCAATAAATGTTTGCTGAATCTAAAAATGAATCACCTTTTAGCTTTTTTGAAAGCACCTGCAGAGCTTTCAATAGGGGAACTAGTCCAAAAAACAAAGCCCCTACCTATCTCCACAACCCACGGAGCCACCCTGGATCTTCGATCAGTCATCATGCCTATGGCCTGTAAAGTCCACATTGGCCATTCTGTCCTCACAGAGATTTTGCAAGTGCCACTACTCTTTGCATTGTTGCTACATGGAATCAGTGATCTTAATCAGATAACACATTATTCCTTTGCCTTGAAATGTGGAACAAAAGGGATACATTTACAGGGATACATCTGTCTTTTACACACCAAATTCTGCTTTCTAACCAATTTACATTTTAATTCTAAAGAGGCTTCATTTTCAATATTTGGCCTCTAATTTGTGATGTCTCCTCTCTTAATTTTTTTGGGGAGAAGTGGCAGACGGGGAGAGGGCAGTTGTCTGTGGCTCATAATCTTATTTTACCAAATAAAGACATTAAAAAAATTTCTCTTCACTTTTGACCCTCTTAGTGTCTCTGAACTGCTATTCAAGACTTACAGTTATACTACAGGTACTAATTATTAATGGTCAGCTCCTAATTTTTGTGTGTGAATTCTAATGAAGAATCAAAAATCAACATTATTTAATGGAAAAAGTAAATATCAAGTAATACAAAGTATTAACAAATGCATGGGGTTTGGGCTTTAATGAAAATGAACAGGCATTTTATAGTTTTGATGATAACAAATATCTGGCAGGCTTTAATCATTTGGCATGGTCATATAATAGTTCATCTACTGTAGCAGTTCTAAAATTAAACACATACACCACTCCCTCCCAAGAATAAACAAAAATAAAAAAATACAGGGACCCAGCAGGAGGCTTTGTACCAATTAAATAAGAATTTTTTATAAAAAACATAATGGAGAACAAGGTAACTGAAAAGACTCTACATAAATAAGGTTTTAAACTTTTCTGTGGACAATGCTACAAATATTTATATAAATTGCAGAAAATTCCTGGAAGAGGTGCTGTTCTCTGGAGCACATTACCAGTGATAGCAATGTTTAGAATGAGTAGTGAGTGGTCACTTCGGGCACCCCAGAGGGCACTCCTATGGACAGAATATTAATGTTAATACTGCCAAGCACACTAACTTGAGCCCTGCCTTAGATGCTCTTTAAAAAGCACAATATTTTTCAAGACGTGTAGGCTTCATTAGCAGCTTCTAAGGAAGTACAGTCTGCCTTTTTAGAGTCCCAGGACAAAAACAGGGAAGAAATGCAAAGCATTTTTTTAAAATAAGTCATTGTGCCCAGCAGTTGAGTGTCTAGCCAGGCACCAAGAGGTCACCAGTTCGATTCCCAATCAGGGCACATGCCCAGGTTGTGGGCTAGATCCCCAATAGGGGGGATGCAGGAGGCAGCCGATCAATGATGTTTCTCTCTCACCGATGTGTCTATCTCTCTATCCCTCTCCCTCTCTCTCTAAAAAAAAAAAAAAATCAATAAAAACATATTTAAAAATAAAATAAGCCATTGTAAAGCAAGAAATTTAGGCAAACAGTTATAAGCCGTAGAAATATAAAATTACAGGTTTTCACTGTACCTGAAACTTCCTGTTAAATCAGATGCTCCTGGTCTCAGCAAAATCTGAGTTACAAAATTGGCCCCACGGCTGTCAAATAAAACAATCAGATTTTCTTTATAAAATAGTTTCTAACCAAGAGTACTAAAATTGCTATCCTAATTTCATAAATAAATGCAACACTACTTCACAAAAATATTAATTCTATAGAACAAATAAATTTTTAGTCAGTGCAAGATCTGATGTTTCTCAATTTTCAGAAAATAGGAACATTTGGAGGGAACCTATAAAGCAATCACTCTTTCAAACTTTAGGTATGAATGATAGGTTTTTAACTTGTGGATTTGCCAGCAGCCATTTAGAATTTCAAACATCTGTCAGCTAGCAAGCGATCAGGGATCTGGAGTTTCCTTTTCAGATTCTAATAAGCACAAAGAAAGAGTGGGTTCAACTAGGTAATAGGTCAGTCTGCATAAAAATGATGCTTTTTTCAAAAAAAATGAAGGTGTGTAAGTGGAAGAGGGCTTTGGTTTTTGGCAATCTCTGGAAATCGTCCAAGGTTCAATCCGAGACTGTCTTAGTCTGCTTGGGCTGCTATAACAAAATACCACGTTACTGGAAGCTAGGAAGTCCAAGGAAGTGAAACCTCTTCCTGGCTTACAGATGGCTGTCATCTTGCAGTGTGCTCACACAGGGAACGGGAGGGAGGTCCAAGCTTTCCTCTTTTCTTCAGAGAGCACTAATCCTACCATGAATGCCCCACACTGAAGACCCCATTTACACCTAATTACCCCCCAGAGGCCCCACCTCCAAATACCAACACTTAAAGGGTAAGGTACTCTAACATGAATTTTAGCAGACACACTGAGTCCATAACAATGACTTTAGGGCACTGCTTCAAACACATCTAAGAATCAATTACAAGCTATTACTGACTAACAGCTATTATTAACATTTCAAAAAGATGTGTGAAGAGCTCTTGAAAAAAGTGACTTTTGTACTGCAGCTATTTTATTGTGCTCATATTAAAAAAAAACTTTTCTGGGCAGCCTGGAGATAAGTTTCCACAGCCAAGGTAACCACCAAGGCCCTCTCATGGAAAGATTATTTTTATATAAATAACACAGGGGCCCATCCGGCATAGCTCAGTGGTTGCACATCGACCCATGAACCAGAGGTCACAGTTCAATTCTAGGTCACGGTGCATGCCAGGCTGAGGGCTAGATCCCCAAGTGGGGATTGGGGGGGGGGGGGGGGGAAGCATGCAGGAGGCAGCCACTGATGATTCTCCATAATCACTGATATCTCTCCCTCTTCTCTTCCTCTCTATGAAATCAATAAAAACATATTTTAAAAAAATATAACACAGGAATATAGCTGGGATAATGGCTAACAAAAACATTTCCCCCACCCCCCCTTGTTTTAAAAGCAACAGCAACAAAAATTCCAGGGCATAGTCCCCACCTCCCCCACTATGTGTGTAATCAAAGAAATTTAAGTATATATATCTATATTGTGTGTGTGTGTATCTGCATATATTTAAAGTAATGTATTTTTAAATAGGAGTCTCTTAAAGTACAGCAAGCGTCAGACAGAATTTGGGTTCAAATTATGGTTCTGGACCATATAAATGAGACTTAGCACAAGTGATAACAATCTTTTCAGGAGTTTATACTTTAAGTCAGCTCAGACATGAACAACTAATGACATTTACAACTAAATGATTCAACTAAAAGCTATGAACTGTCTCTGATTGGGACTCCCTAATTTTAAGAACAGTTTTAATGACTGAAATCAGAGAGGCCTGAGAGATCGCTGTTGGTCTCAACCTTGTCTGCAGTATAATCACCTGGGAAGCCTGTGGAAAAGACTGATGCTTTGGCCCCACCTATGAGAGCTATTCAAACGGTCTGCATTGTGTGTGGGCAAGCGAAAGGGAGGATGAATAGGGAGCAGTTGTGTGTAATTTTCTCCTTACATGATCCCAATATTTAGCAGGATTGAAAACCACTGTTTTATCCAACCCCTTCATTTCTCTGAAGATTGAGGCATTTACATGTTTTAAATGACTTGCCCAAGATTCACAGTTAAGAGGCAAACTTGAGATTAAAAGAATCTTCAACAGGAATGAAGTAGGTGATAAAAAAAATACTAATGGCCAAAAATATTTTGCGGGTCTTCCATTCTATTTCTGCGCCCCTTGGTTATGGGCTTGCCTTGACCAAGAATTAGCCCCAAAACCTAGGACTCAAGAAGCCTTATGGCTGCAGCCTTGGTACTGTTGGACGCTGTCCTTAGGACACCATGTAAAGAAGCTGGTCTAGCTTTCCAGAAGGCGAGGGGCCACATGCAGAACTGAGATGCCCCAGACAACAACCATCATCAACTACTGGATGGATGAATGAGGCCACTTGGATCTTCTAGCATAGTTGCCTCTCCAGCTGAAGGAAGCTGCATGAATGAGCCCAGGTAAAGCCAGCAGAGGACCCACCACCAGCCAATCCACAGAACCAGAAGAAATAATGTCTTTGTTTTACGTCACTAAGCTTTGGGATGGTCTGTTATACAGCAGTAGAAAACTGAAACAGGTTTCATTCCATTTCATGAGGAGGAAAGTAAAGCTTAGGGAAGGTACAACATGCAAGGTGACAGGTAATGAAGTGACACAGTCAGGATTTTAACCCAGGTCTGACTCCAAAGCCTCACTACTTTATGCTGCTTTAAAAAAGTTGAAATAATTGTCCATTTACTTAAAATGATAAAAAATATATATGGAGAACTACCTTAGTAGTCCCAAAATATAGATGAATAGTTCACTTAAAATCAAAGCTGAAGGTCCAGAGAATAAATTTGTGCTGAATCATACCATTTTTACCAAAGGTTCAAAGGTTTATGTTGATTTTCCTTAGTGAAAAATACCCCAAATAAAATACTCTAATCATAGGAAAAATTGTAGGTAAGAAGTTATCTGGAAATATTTATTGAAAATTAATACTCTGATCCCACCAATACCAAGGCGGTATGGTAATTTAACCTAAATACCTGTTATAAACATATTTATAGGCGTTACACTAAAAAAAACAGTAATCATAACACATGTATATACCTGATTAATTTTCTTTTCAAATCCCAGCCATAAACACCTCCATTTCCTTTGTAGCGAGTTCCAGAGACAATGTCAAAATTACCTTCCTTTTGCTTCCTGTAGAACAAATAAATTAGCTGTCAATTAGAGAAAGCTACTGGGATTTCAATAGTTATTTTCAAGAGTTACACAAACAGAACTGTCAAGACTTGCACCTAGGAAAAACAATGCCAAGGAAATAGATGAACTATTATTACTACTGAAAGATCTTTCAAATTAAGGTTTTCAAACTTGATCCTTTTCTTCCTTCATTGATTTAAAACAGTACATTTGCTGACTGCACCATGTGAAACCATCCTAAAATGTAATAATAATATTAAATTTACACAATACCCCTGAATTTCTGTTCTTGTACCTGAAGTAAACAATGCTAAAACAGCCTGGCAACCTTCTAGATTTTTCTCTTTGTTTACAGAAAGACAACTCAAAGACAGGACTCCCTATAGTGTTTTATGTCACTTTCACAAATTTGGAATTCAAAAAAATGTACGTTTTGCAACTTGCTTTTTGTCAATTAATACACATCATGGAATCATGGATATCCCTACAAAGTTGACAAAGAATTTCCCCATTCTTTGTTGTTGTTAATCCTCGCCCAGGGATATTTTTTCCATTGTTTTTTAGAGGTTGCAAGGGAGGAAAGGATGGGGAGAGAAAAAGAGAAACATGTGAGAGAGACACATCGATTGGTTGCCTCCTGCACACGCCCCAACTAGGGCCAAGGATTAGGTACATGCCCTTGACCAGGAATCAAATCCGAGACTCTTTGGTGCTCAGGCCGACACCCTAACCACTGACTCCCATGGGCCAGGGTCTCCATTCTTCTTAATAGCTGCAAAAATATTTAATAGAATATTTAACCTGTATACTCATATGATTGTTTCCATGATGGGTGCCCCAATTTCCAAGAGCACAAGCACAATGAATAGTATAGCCTGCTGCTTAGACTACCCAAAGTAGAACATAATGGAACGGCTAAAACAATCCTAACAGATCTCACCATAGAAATTACTTTCCAAAAACGTAGCAACTCACTTCTTCCTGCAATATTTGAGTGTGCTCATTTTCTACAGTCTTATTGGTGCTGGATGTATTGCTGAATTAAGTTTTTAAGTTTAATAAACTAATGGGTAATAACAACATAGTTAATTATTTTATTTTTTTTAATTATATTTTCATTGATTTCAGAGAGGAAGGGAGAGGGAGAGAAAAATAGAAACATCAATGATGATGCACGCCTCTCTCCCGGGATTGGTGCCCTGACTGGGAATCGAACCGTGACCTCGTAGTTCATAGGTCAACACTCAACCACTGAGCCACATGGGTCGGGCTGCAGTTACTTAATTTGCAATTCTCTGACTACATCCTAGGGTGACTATCTTCTTAGGTTTATTAGCCATTTGAATTTCTTTTACATTATGGCCTGTTTGTACCTTTCCTGTTTGCTACTCCACTATTTCTATTTCTTTATCAAGTCAAAGGGGCTTTGTGTATTGGAGATATAAGCAGAGATGGTATCTCTGAGGTGATTCAATGCAGAGGTCAAAGGATGGGAAATTATTGGCCACTAAGGAGCAGGCAAAGAGCACTGCAGGCAAAGGGAACATGGCATTGTGTGAGCGCAGAAATGGAAGGAGTATGCCTGCAGTACAAAGAGCAAAGGGGGAGGCACAAGGTAAGTTCAGAAAGGGAGGCAGGGACCAGATCACACAGCAGTTTGAGGGACAAAAAAACCCCCCAAAACCTGTGGATTTTCCCCGCTGTGTTATATTTTATACTAAATTCTTGCTTAAAAATACTACTTAAAATATTCATGCTTAATGTTAGCTGGTTTGCCTAGTTTGACGAATGAGAAATGATTCCACATTTCACCATTTTGTAAAACATTTGTATTACGACTGGGTTTTCTTTATCATGTTTAAGTGGTTTCCTTCCATTTGTACTTTCTAAAGTTTTTATTAGAAATGGCTGGTGAATTTGATCAAACTTTTATCATCTACAGACTTAATCACGCTATTTTGTTGTTGTTAATGTTATAAATTATGTTGACGAATTCCTGAAGATGAACCACTCTAGCATTCCTGAATAAACCTTATTTGTTCATGGGGCTTCACCCTTATGATCCAGGGCTTAATTCCATTTAACAGGAAGTCACCTACTAGCTTTTTCTGTAGTCTGGAATAATCTAGATAACAAAGGAATTATCTGTTGATCAGTTCCTCAGGGCTCCTAAAACACATCATTTAGTCACATACTATATACTCATGAGTCTCAAACCTATATGTTGGTTTTATTTTTGATAGCTAACAAAATAGCATGTTCATTTTTCAATTAATAAAGAATGAAAAACAAAAATAAGTCCACAATCAATATAAGATAAATGATTTGAATCGTGTATTTTTTTCAAATATTAGAATTACCTACCTAATGAATTCAGGAATAAATTTTGGCTGAAATTTAGAAAGAATAAACAGTAAGTCAGTAAAATAGGCTAAGGCAATCATAAATCACTATTAAAGAAATATGCCACTTACATGGTGTGAGAGATCAGCATCCATAATAATTATGTAGTTTCCTGTGGCATGTTTCATTCCATGTATATATGCAGTTCCTAAAAATGAAAATATTTATCTCCGTTAAAGAAAATCACCGGAAATACTTACGTTTACAACATCTGAACAGAGAAGCAATTGTTAAGCACTGAAAAGCATACATTAGTCCTCTAAAGATGATCCTGATCTAGTATAATTAAATATTATTTATTCTCAATGAAAAACATCTCTCAATTCCATTCTTTGTCTTGAACTTCACATTAGTCCGAGGTACCATCTTCTGATGACTCCTCCTTACCAAGCTTCCCTGCTTCTAATCTTCTCATCTTCCCATTTCCACAAAAAACTTCCTTTGTCAGTGTCTTCCACACTGTAGGAAGCCTGGTACAGTAGAGCCCTGCTCTGGTATTTGGGGCCAAAGGCACAGCTAGCAAATACTTAGCATCTTCAGGCCTAAAAATTCCTCAGGGACTTGGCAGGTAAGGTAACTGATTGGGAGCAGGATTTGGGGATTCCTGCATTCTCTGGCCCCAAACGACCACTGTCTTACTAGCAAAGCTAATCTTTTCTAACTTCTTGTTAAGAAGTGACTATCACAGCTTTTTGGATATACCACTGGCTGGTCAGTAATTCTGGTTGCTTTCATGGCAGTGTGCAGATTATTTCAATCCCAAACAACTTTCTGAATCAGATATTCAGAACATTTAATGAAGCCAGTTAACTAATAGTTGCAGAATAACAGACATTCAATTTTTCAAACTGTGTTTCTCCAATTTTTCAGTAAAATTATACCAATTCTTTACATAAGCAATGATGACTAACAACAGAAATGAAGGCATTTAGATCTTCATCCCAGAATGACTGAGCTCATCTGAGATTTCAACTGTTTAAAAGCTAAGAAAGATTTATTTTTAAAAATAAGTACCTTTTTAAAACGTATGACTTAAAGAAACGTTCAAAGGTTTATAGCTAAGGCAGTGTGCTGGTCCAGTATGTTTGCTCTCAGATCCCTTCTCTGGCCTTTCTCTATATTGCAAGGAACTTATTTCCCAGGTTGGCTTGTCAACTGGCTTCCAAACAGCTTTGAGAGGCAGAGGAGAGAAGGGAAGGTCAAGTGGCCTCCCTCTCTTACTCTGCCTCCCTGCATTGACTGCATATCCTCAATGACTCCAACTCCTGCCGGGTATCACCGACTTCATCATTCTAGCCCACTCTGGGCAGCCTGGGTTGCTGCTCCATCTTGGGGGGGTAGGAACCTCCAGCTATTACTAATCCCTGAGTAGCTTCACTATTCCATTTGGCTTCTCAGCAATTCCTTCACCTGTGTAACCAGGTTCTCTGTATTAAATTCCCTATATTGAAAGACTTGTGGTGGTTCTGTTTTCCCAAGTGGACCAAGACTGATACAGGCAACTCAAACCATTTAAATGTCATTAAGATCATTAAAAATCATTATAGGGGGTTACTGTATTTTGGCCTTGTTCCAAACAAAATACATACTGAACAATCTGCCAAGTCAAAAAGCAGGTGATGGATGAGAGGTTCTACTTACCTAGTCCCAACTTTTTCTCCCGTGGTCTTAGAAGCTGTAAGAATAAGAAAGGACACTTTGACACAAATAATAAAAAACCTACTAAAAACTCTTTTTTATTCATATAAGTTCTACTCATTTTAACAAAAACATAGCTATATTTTTAAAATCTTAGAGCAGAGTACGTTTAACATTTTTTTTTGCCAAAAAAAGAAAAAAGCAGTTAGCCAACAAATCAAATAGTATAACAACTTTTAAGGAAAACCAACATTTTTTCTTACCCCTTCCTCACAATAAAAGCCAAATTTTATACTTTTTGTTTTTCTGGTGCTTGGAAACGATGTGAACAATGTTTTATATCCTCTCTCTTAATTTATCATTTTAAACTATCTATTGATTACTTCCAAGGAAACTGCAGGGGTAACTCATTTATTCTATACCTTTTTGGAATATTTGGTAGCCAGATTTGTTTTTTTCAATTCCCTTTGTGATTTTAAATGCTGCTATTATTCTTCCTCCAACAACTTATCTTGACTTTATGCTTGGATAACCTCATCTTATTCTCTACTGGCCCAATGACAAGGAGGTTTTCTTACAGCCTGTCAATTACTTAGTCTTTCTACATTTTGTGCTTCATATACAGACGCTAACTCAATTGCTTTTCATCTTATCTGAAAACTTTTGAAAAGGTAGGATGCCAAGTTTTGGATTCTGTTCTAAGTTTCTTAGATACAGGGCTCAGGTAGACACACACCTGAGCGCATCTTGTCCCCTGCGGCATTTGCCAGTGTATCGGCCGGTTGCCTCAGAGTGTGAATCTCTAAACAAAGTACTTTCAGTTCCAGTCACCCAGGACAGGTTAATTTTATTTTTTACTACATGCATGCTGCTCTAGGTCTTGGGGAGGAACAAAGATAGATAAAATACATTCCTGCCCGATGAGCTCTTAAACAGAGAACAAGACAATCATCTATAATAATTACAATTCACTGAACAAAATCAAACAAGGTATGTCAGGTTTTATTTGATTTTTGTGACAGTTACTGACAAAATACTGAGCCCATCTGATCTCGGCCCTGAAAAACCCAATCTTTTAAAGTTCATGTGAATAATCCCGTATTTCAGCTGGAAAAACTCTTTGTTTCAGATAAAAAATAATTTTGTCATTTGTAAGTTTCAGATTATTCAAAAGTTCATACAAACTATAAACCATGTTGCATATGACAGAATACTATGGAGCAGTTAACAGAATGAGATCATTTGGTGACATAATGATATAGTAAAAAAGTAACTATGATACAGAAAGGTTGCATTCATATTTAAAAACAAAAAATACCAGCATAATACCTAGTTCTAAGATGTGGACTCATACACATATATGCACAAAAAGGCAACACACACCAAACTATTGACTGAGTTTGACCCTGGGGAAGAGACTGGGATGCAGATCAGGAAATGCACCTCAAAGGCAACTTCGGTTTTATAGGTAATATTTACATTTTACACCAAGAATGTACTTGATATTTCTTACATAAGAAAAAGTACAAATTGTTTCATTTAGTGTGCTTAACTTTTAGACCCTGAATTATACTCCTTTTTGATCTGCTAATTAGCTATGTAATCTGGGCAGTAAAGGACACGATAGAGCTCACCTTTCGGGGGTCATGAGAGCAAGCAGTGAATTCATAGGTTGCTAGGCACAGACTCTCTGAAGTATACTTACAACACAACTGCTTATGAACTACTTCATGTGATACTATAATTTGCTTGACAAAAAACTTATTTTGTAAAGGTTTTATCATAGAAAATCTTGATGACACTTCAGACAAACTATCAATTTGTACTAGAATCAAAAGTATTTGAGTGAACCTATTACCATACTCTTGAAATCAATGGGCTGAAGAGAAAAAATAAAAAATTGCCGAACCGGTTTGGCTCAGTGGATAGAGCGTCGGCCTGCGGACTCAAGGGTCCCAGGTTCGATTCCGGTCAAGGGCATGTACCTTGGTTGCGGGCACATCCCTACTGGGGGGCGTGCAGGAGGCAGCTGATCGATCTTTCTCATCAATGTTTCTAGCTCTCTACCCCTCTCCCTTCTTCTCTGTAAAATATATTTAAATAATAAAAAAATAAAAAAATAAAAATACAGCTTCAGCTATGAAAGGTTAACTGTACTCTCCTCCTACTTTGCAATTCTTTACTCATCATTGAGGCTCATTTTTCCCATTATTTGCCATGTGTAGTTCTTGTTTCATGAATTATCTGTTTTTGTACATTTGACTGGGGTACTGATCTTTTTGTTAGAGATAATTTGGTATTTGGAATGAACAAAATATTTTATTATATTAGTCAAATCTCTTGGTCCTATAGTTATGTTTCATGTTTTAAAAGTAATGAACACATCATATCTTATTGTACATATGTAGATGTGAAAAACCATCTCCATCTTTTTGTTCTTTTTTGCTGTAGCCTTTGACCAACCTCACTGTCCTTAAGCAGCATATCAAAGCCTTCTAGTCAATGATGATCTGTGTTCCATAAAATATAACCATAAATACTGTTAGTAATGGCCAGGAAGACAAGCAAGATGACTATCAAACTGGTGACAGTATCAACCACCAGTATGGCCCCTGGTGCTACTGCATTCTTTGTCCCTTTGTCTTTTCAATCATTAGTACCTGAGTTATAGTAGCAGAGAACAATCTGCACAAAACTGCTGGGCTGATCTGCCACAGATTTTAAAAAATATATATTTTATTGATTTTTTACAGAGAGGAAGGGAGAGGGATAGAGAGATAGAAACATCGATGAGAGAGAAACATCGATCAGCTGCTTTCTGCATACTCCCCGCTGCCTTCTGCACACTCCCCACTGGGGATATGCCCGCAACCAAGGTACATGCCCTTGACCAGAATCGAACCTGGGACCCTTCAGTCCACAGGCCAACGCTCTATCCACTGAGCCAAACCAGCCAGGGCCTGCCACAGATTTTTACCTGATTTCAGGTTAGGGGAGGAAACAAACCTCACATATCAAACATGACAGAAGCATTCAAACACAGAAAGGTTGAAGTCCTCCACAATGTCAGATCTCCCTGCCCTGTAACAGTTCAGGACACGTGTCTCCAACTTTTCTATCATCCCATCACTGCCATTTATTAGTTAGCTGTGCAATCTTGGGAAGTGAATTAACCCTCATCTGTTTCTTCAACTACAGAGTTAAAAAAAAATCTTCCTCAGCTTCTCCTGAAGCATTCATTTCAACTAGTCCAAAAGGCTAGCTTGGACAAAGCATCTGGGCTGAATCACTTTATCTGAGAAAAATAACCATTTTTATCCATCTTTCCCCTCAAGTAAACATTCATACATCACTTAAAAGCAAGTAAGTGCCAACCCTGGCAAGGCCTGACACTGAAAAAAAAAATATTCTAGTTTAAATAATTTAAAGGTCATAAAATAATGAACAGGGAATTTCCCTGGTACAACATGGAAATTGTGATAATAGAGGATAATTTTCTTATGAACTTGAATTTTATTTTGTTGATGGGAAAAATGGAATGCTTTGAGGAATAATGTTGTTTTAGAATTTGTGGATGTCAATTTAGTAGGCAATCCCTAAAATCAATCAATCAGTTAGACCTCAAGGCTGAGCTTCTATGACATATGTATTCAAAATATTGCCAGGCTGATGTCCCCAGATTAAATAGCAGCACATAACTCAGAGTGTTCTATATATAATGTGTGCATCAGTGGCCATGGCCCAGAACTTCTGAAAGAGAAACAGGGGAACTCTTGTTCCTATGAACCTACCATCATCACTGGAAGTCACTGCTAGAGGCTCAAGACCTGTCAACTTTCTGTACTCCTATGCAACAGGAGATATTCAGCAAGGACTGGAAAGTGACAGATCTGTGAGTTGCTACTCTGTGAGACAGACAGAAAGAATCTCTAGTATAGGAAAGATTACCAGGTATATAAGAGTAACACATTCCCCTTAAACTCTTCCCACCAACAAAGATCTCCTCCAACTAAATAGAAATTATTTCATTATTTAGATTAGTCAAGAATATTTGGATCCAGTGACTATTTTTATGATGTTGATGGCCATTTCTTGAAATGTAAATAATCAATAAAGGCTTTCCAAGAGACTTATGTTTATGCCAATGGTTCTTTGTTGAGAAGAGGGGGCAATTTTGCCCATAAAGGGACATCTGACAATATCCCGAGACATTTTTGGTTACCACATTGGGAAGGGGGGTAGCTACTGGTATGTAGTGGCTAGAGACCAGGAATGATGTTGAACATCCCACAACATACAGGACAGCCTCTCACAGCAAAGACTTATTGGTCCCAGATGTCAACAGTGCCAAGATGGAGAAACTCTTACAATACCCAATGCCTATAATGTATTTTCTAAATCCAAACCAGTGACCAAAAATAAAATTTATGAGGCCATTATAAAATGAACTCTACATCTGCCTAAGTTACTCCCACAGAAGAGCAGGCTTCAAGGTACAGTAGAAAAATCTAAAGTTTAAGACTCAGAAAGTCAACCTACTCCAAGACTGTTCTACAGATAAAAATAAAAATGCCAAGTACTCTGAAAAGCCATTTCTGTTTCACATGAAAATAGTCACCTTTCTCAGTTATAAACTTTTAGCTGCGGGCAGTATTTCCTTTTGAAAGTATGAGAACACCTAGAGAAAGAGAGCAAGAAAGATCAAGTCCCACATTACCAACTGCAACCTTGTTCTATAATATTCCTTGTCAATTCAATATCATGCTTTAATTTTGTCCTTCAAGAAAACTTATCTACAGAATCAATCATAAAAACAGAGTTCATCCAAAGACTCACTATTTTGCTGTAAAACTACTGATCAACATATCAAAAAGATGTAAAACTTCACCCTGACCGGTTTGGCCTGCGGACTGAAGGGTCCTAGGTTCGCTTCTGGTCAAGGGCATGTACCTTGGTTGCGGGCACATCCCCAGTAGGGGGTGTGCAGGAGGCAGCTGATCGATGTTTCTCTCTCATCGATGATTCTAACTCTCTATCCCTCTCCCTTCCTCTCTGTAAAAAATCAATTAAATATATTAAAATTAAAAAAAAAGATGTAAAACTTCAAACACAATGAAAATGCATCTAAATGCCAAAAAGTGTTTTTTATCTTTTCAGTTTCTAGACAGATTGAATTTAAACACTGTTCATCTCTCATCTTTCCCCTACAAAAACACAACTGAAAAGATAGAAAAATATTCACACAACTTACAATTTTGTCTGATCCATAGATCTTCTCCAACTGTTCAGCAACCTCCCTTGTTCCATCTGGGCTCCCATCATCTATGATTATAATTTCATAGTTGATTCCACTAAAATAAGAAAATTAAATTTGTATTGTTTGAATATAGTATTATAACAAAAATAATAATTTTAAAATTACTAATTCTTAACCAGTAGTGGAAATTTATTGTCATAGTAATCACTAAGGAAAACTTCAATTATCAAATGAAATGTCAAATATTCAGTACTTCACCTCCAAACTCAACATGTTGCTGAAAAGTGTTATTATAAAGTCCTACGATGTAAAAAAATTCTCTCACAGAAAACATTAAAAAAAAAACCAGTGAGCTCAGCAAGTGTGGGTCAACGGTTGAGTGTTGATCCATGCACCAAGATGTCATGGGTTTGATTTCTGGTAGGGGCACATGCCCAGGTTTCAGGCTCAATCCCCAGTGGGGGACGTGTGGGAGGCAGCCTACTGATATTTCTCTTTCATTGATGTTTCTAATCTCTCTAAAAAAACCACATATTTCTTTAAAAAAACCAGTGTTTTATATGTATACTAGAGGCCTGGTGCACAAAAATTTGTGCACTGGAGGGGGTGGGGTGGGGGTCCCTCAGCCCAGCCTGTGCCCTCTCGCAGTCTGGGATTATTATTTAAAATTTAATCCCAGCCGAACTGGTTTGGCGCAGTGGATAGAGCTTCGGCCTGCAGACTGAAGGGTCCCAGGTTCGATTCCGGTCAAGGGCATGTACCTTGGTTGCGGGCACATCCCCGGTGGGGGGCGTGCAGGAGGCAGCTGATCGATCTCTCTCATCGATGTTTCTAACTCTCTGTCCCTCTCCCTTCTTCTCTGTGAAAAATCAATAAAATATTTTTTAAAAAAATAAAATTTAATCCCAAATGATTTTAAGAACATAATCAGGAATAAATCCAACTTAATTTCACCCTTTAAAAAACCTACATCAGAATGGCAACATAATATTTTACACCTCTATTTCAATAGTTGTACACATTATCCTACACTAGCAAATAAAAGGAAATAGCACAGAATAACAAAATATTTCAATATCCGCCCTGGCCGACGTGCTCAGGGGTTAGAGTGTTGGCCCACATACAGAAGGGTCTCATGTTTGATCCCTACCCCAGTTGGGGTGTGGGCAGGAAGCAACCAGTCAATGTGTCTCTCCCACACTGATGTCTCTCTCTTTCCCACCTCCCTCCTTCCCTTCCACTCTCTCTGAAAAGCAATGAAAAGAAATATCCTCAAGTGAGGATTAACAAAAAAAATTTTTCAATATCCTTCAAAATTAACATCTTTCTGCTGCTCCTGATCGTCTTTATGGGATAGTTTCTATTCTAAAAACAAGTCAGCATAATACTTGGATGTACATGAGATCACTATCATGCCTGTCACTACCCCCTTTAAAAAACATTCTTTTTGTTAACTTTATTGGAAACTTAAGGGGAAAGAAAATGAGGCAAAGCCAAACTTTCACACACAACATTCTGTTTCTTCTTGGTAACATGCAAGGAAGTCAACCAAAAAACACATTCCACTGTTAAAAGTTTAAGAAATTCAGCCCCAGCAAACTTGCCAGAAAGAAAACTCAGCCTTATCAATTCTCCAGGAATAAAAAGTATGATTTCAGCTTCCTAATGTGCTTAAACTTGGGCATGTGCTTACAAGCCCAAACAAGTAATATGTTGATTCTAGCTGATGGGCTGAAAGATACACACTTCAAATCAAAGGCACTTCTCTAGCCCACTTCAAAGCACCCATAGCACCTGAGGGTGAGGTAGCTGAAAGGAATCAAGCTGAGCAGATATTAGTTAATGTGACTGAATCTGACAAGTTGTTTCCTTCATTAAACTTCATTTTTATTTATTTATTTTTTAAATATATTTTATTGATTTTTTACAGAGAGGAAGGGAGAGAGATAGAGAGTTAGAAACATCGATCAGCTGCCTCCTGCACATCTCCCACCGGGGATATGCCCGCAACCAAGGCACATGCCCTTGACCGGAATCGAACTTGGGACCTCTCAGTCCGCAGGCTGACGCTCTATCCACTGAGCCAAACTGGTTTCGGCTAAACTTCATTTTTAAAAAACGTTTTCATTGATTTGGCTGCCCTTTGCACACTCCTACCAGGGATGTTTCTCCCACATTGATGTTTCAATGAAACCCGGGCATGTGCCCAGACCAGGAATCGAACCGAGGACCTTCTGGTGCATGGGATGATGCTCAACCAACTGAACCACACTGGCCAGGGCTAAATTTCATTTTGATTAAAAAAATCCATTCAGAGCCCTGGCTGGTTTGGCTCAGTGGATAGAGCGTCAGCCTGCGAACTCAAGGGTCCCAGGTTCGATTCCGGTCAAAGGCATGTACCTTGGTTTCGGGTACATACCCAGTAGGGAGTGTGCAGGAGGCAACTGATCGATGTTTCTCGCTCTCTATCCCTCTCCCTTTCTCTCTGTAGAAAATCAATAAAACATATTTTTAAAAAAAATCCATTCAGAGACTATTAAAATATAAACTGCACTACATAAAATATTTAAAAATAAAGCAAAAAATATTGTACAATCAGAAGTCAAACAGGAACAAGATAATTCTCTAAATTGAAAAGAGCTTGTAGAAATCAAAATAAAAATATAATTTAAAAAGAGGAAAAAGAGATGAGTAAAAAATTTGAAGAACTATGTATGTGAAGACAGTTATCTCATTCAAAGAAAAATAATTAAAATGGCAATGTTTATGATTGTTTAACCGCTATGGGGTACACCTGAAACTAATACAAAATATTAAATGTAAACTGTAATTTAAAATAAAATTTAAAAAATAAACAATTGTGCAGCTGAAAAAAAACCACACCCAGCAATGTTTTTCACCAAAGAGCACTTCCAACGAAGTAATAATACTTTGTTGACTGGCTACGGGAGAACAGGCACTCTCTGAAGAATGCTGCAGAGTCCTAAGCCAGTACAATCTCTTTTGACAGTAATTTGTCAATAACTATCCATTTTAAGCACATCTCTATTGATCCAGCAATATCACCGCAAAGACTTTATCCTGATGTACCAGCAAAAGTACGAGTGTTTGTTGCAACGTTAATCTTAACAAAGGAGCACTCACTATGTGTCACTTTTCAAAATGCTGGAAAATGTGGCGTGAACATCCCTGTTCTCATTTGTAAATGTAAAGGAAATGTAAAAAAACATATGTATTTTAAAAAAAAAATCTATGTTTGCCCTAACTGGTTTGGCTCAGTGGATAGAGCATCGGCCTGCGGACTCAAGGGTCCCAGGTTCGATTCCGGTCAAGGGCATGTACCTTGGTTGCCAGCACATCCTCAGTGGGGAGTGTGCAGGAGGCAGCTGATCGATGTTTCTCTCTCATCAATGTTTCTAACATTGTTTCTAACAATGTTTCTAACAATGTTTCTCATCAATGTCTCTATCCCTCTCCCTTCCTCTCTGTAAAAAAAAATCAATAAAAAATATATATATTTAAAAAATAATAATAATCTATGTTCGATGACATGACCCGGTTAAATAATAACACAGGCACATGGAATATTATTTAATTTTCAAAATAATTTGCTAAGTGTGTGTATGCTGATATGGAAAGATCTTCAAAGATTTCTGCAACATGGTCCCATCAGTGTAACACAAATGGACGTTACTGTCCTGATACCAGGATTTTCCGAAGTTTAAGAAAATCTGTATAAACACTTTCGAGCCCCAGGTTCTACCGGCCACAGCCCACACCCGCCGGTGGCCGGCGCAGCCGCCCCTGTGCTCTCTCCAGAAAGGCTGTGCAGCCCCGCGGCCGCTCCCTGCCCCCGACACAAACCTCACGCTTACATAAGCACCGGGCACGGGGCGGGCGAGGCTGCTCGCCGAGACGCCCGGCTCCTGCCGCACAGCCTGGCCACCCAGGCTCCAGGTCCCAGAGCGAGGAGCGAGGCCAGGCTGGCAGCCTAGCGCCCGCCGAGAGGGGCCAGCCCTCGAGAGAAAAAGGGACTGGGGGACGGGAGGGGGACGGGGGACGGGGCCCGGGAGTGTAAACAGTAGAGATAAAGGAGTGTCTCACAAAACCCAAGGGCAGGAAGGAGAACCCGAGACAGGGACAGATCCCCAGAGGTCTCCGCCTCTGCATCGCTCGCAGGGTGGCCTCCTCCCCGACACTTCCCTCCCCAGCCGCAGAGAGCAGGGCCGCCTCGCGCAGCCAACTGCCGGCCACCAGCCAGGGGAGCCAGCTCATCTCCTCCGGGACAGGGCCGCGCACGCTACCTCTCGGAGAAGCTTTTCACCAGCAGCCACACGATGAGCGGCAGGTTCTCGCGCTCGTTGTAGGTGGGCAACAGCACCGAGTACTTGTCCCGTCCCGGGGCGCGCCCCGCCGGCTCCCGACGAGACCTCGGAGGGGTACGATTCGCTGTCTTGGAGGCCATGGCGGAACTCCGCGAGACGCCGGAAGCGGAATGACGTAAGCGCGGCGTGGGCACGGCCGAGTCGGACCGCGCCAAATGCGGGCAGAGGCGGGGGGGGCCTGTGTGGTTGAGTGCTACTTCTCCTAAAGAGTCAGAGCTGATGAATCTTTAAAACGGAATCTGAAGGTTGTTTCAGGAAATACATACCTATTTATCACCTCTTCCAAAGTCCCGTAAAGTTTTTTAGTTTATTCCGGTCTCTAGGAGACGACAAGCCGGAAACGGAAATGCCTTCAAGACAACTTCCGGAAGCAGCTGCCATGGCTGCCAGGGAGGAGGTTCTTGCCTTGCAGGCTGAAGTTGCCCGGCGTGAGGAGGAGCTGAGTTCCCTGAAGCAGAGACTGGCGGCGGCTCTTTCGGCGGAGGACGAGCCAGCGCCGCGGGTTCCGGTGTCGCCCCTGCCGCCGAAGGCCGCCCTGTCCCGAGATGAGATCCTGCGCTACAGCCGGCAGCTCGTGCTGCCTGAGCTCGGGGTGCACGGCCAGCTGCGGCTGGCGACCGCGTCCGTGCTCGTCGTGGGCTGCGGTGGGCTCGGCTGCCCACTGGCGCAGTACCTTGCAGCGGCCGGCGTGGGCCGCCTTGGTCTTGTGGACTACGACGTCGTCGAAATGAGCAACCTGGCCCGTCAGGTGCTGCATGGCGAGGCCCTGGCCGGCCAGGCCAAGGTCTTCTCGGCTGCCGCCTCGCTGCGCCGGCTCAACTCAGCCGTGGAGTGCGTGCCTTATGCTCAGGCTCTCACTCCGGCCACGGCCCTAGACCTCGTGCGCCGTTACGACGTGGTGGCCGACTGCTCCGACAACGTGCCCACTCGCTACCTGGTTAGCGACGCGTGTGTGCTGGCTGGCCGGCCTCTCGTATCCGCCAGCGCCCTGCGCTTTGAGGGCCAAATCACCGTCTACCACTACGACGGCGGGCCTTGCTATCGCTGCCTATTCCCCCAGCCACCTCCCGCGGAGACGGTGACCAGCTGCGCGGATAGCGGGGTGCTCGGTGTTGTAACGGGGATCCTGGGCTGCCTGCAGGCGCTGGAAGTGTTGAAGATCGCCGCAGGTATGGGCCCCTCTTACAGTGGCAGCCTGTTGCTCTTCGACGCTCTCGGAGGACATTTCCGCTGCATTCGGCTGCGGAGCCGCAGGCCGAATTGTGCAGCTTGCGGAGAGCGGCCCACGGTGACCGACCTGCAGGACTATGAAGCCTTCTGTGGCTCCTCGGCCACGGATAAATGCCGCTCCCTTCGGTTGCTGAGCCCAGAGGAGCGCGTTTCGGTCAGCGACTATAAGCGCCTTCTGGATTCTGGGTCACCCCACCTGTTGTTGGACGTCAGGCCTCAAGTGGAGGTGGACATCTGTCGTTTGCCTCATGCTCTGCACATCCCTTTGAAGCATTTGGAACGGAGGGATGGGAAGAGCCTGAAACTCTTGGGAGAAGCAATCCAGGAAGGGAAGCGAGGAGCGCAGGAAGGAGCAGCTCTCCCCATCTATGTGATTTGCAAACTGGGCAATGACTCCCAGAAAGCCGTGAAGATCCTGAAGTCCTTGACAGCAATCCCAGAGTTAGGCTCGCTAGCAGTTCAGGATGTGGTGGGGGGGCTCATGGCCTGGGCTGCCAAGATCGATGAAACATTTCCGCAGTACTGAGGTGGCTGATATATATATATATATATATATATATATATATATATATAGTCTGACCTGAGAAAAATGTGCGTTGCTATGTTAACCTTAAAGATACATTTATTTCCATTTTTCTCAGTAATGTACTGGATTCTGCATCTGTGAATACATAGATTTCTTTTTATAAGGGGATTTTTAATGGTAATTTATTGAATGATACGGTTGTTGAGGGTCTATAAAACTGTTTCTGAGAACTGTCTTGTGTTTTCAATACTTGGAGGGTGTCTTGAACATGTGAGGTATATTGTAAGTGACAGGATTTTGTGTTTTAATTTGCAGATGATTTGCCTGTCTTGCTTTTTTCCCACCTCCCCAAAAAGACTCTCTAAATGGTCTATTTTAGGCCCGGAATTAAGTTGTTGTAAACTTAGTCCTACCGAATTGATTGCAGATGATATACATAAGATCAGTTTATTGTTTATGAAAGGCATTCTTTGGGTCTTATTTCTACTTCAAATGATAGAATATATCCTACAGAACTAAGTGTTAAGGTGAAAATTGTCTTAATTATCTGGAAAGTGATCATTAAATATTTTGAATTCATATAAAGGTGAAGTATTTACAGGTTAGCAAGAAAAAGGAAACCACCTTCGTAGTATGTCAGTTTCTCTTATAAGTTGCTGATTTTTTTCGTAAAGTTAGCTTCAGGGCCCACCCTATATTGTACACATAACGTTTTATAAACTGTATACTATCGTTTGGCTTGCTTTGGATTCTTCAGGTCCACGTTCCAAACCTCTGCCCTTTCCCATCCAGTCTGTTATATTTATTGTTGGCTTCACTGTATGGTCAGGACCCCAAATACAATACTAAATTAAGGTGGAATAGTGAACATTCTTATCTCAGGCTCAGGTGAAAGACATGATTTGATCAGTATTGCTTATTATTGCTTTACTATAAATACCCTTCATCAAATTAATGACATTTTTTTCTGTTTATAGTTTGCTAAGAGTTTTGACTGAATTTATCAAATGCATTTATTAAGATTGTTTCCTAACTTTTTTCTCCTGTTCATATAGTGAATATTGATATTTTTATTGTAGAAAAAAATTATAAAAATTACCCTCCCAGCAGTTTCCAATAGTATTGTCAACCACCTGCACATGCTTCCAACAGATCCCAGAATCCTCCCACTCCTCCATGACTAAAACTTTGCACCCACCAAAGAATTCCCCCCTTTCCCCTTTAACTTGCCTTTTCTATCTTGATTTAGTTTGTTTTATTCCAGCATTTTATAGTAGTGCAAAATGTAGGTGGTTCTGTTTTTTAAAGAACATTTCCATGAAATGGCAGGTACTCTGCCCAATTTCCAATATCTACAACGAAACTAAAAGTGAACATTTGGTATGTGAGTATTAGTGGCAAATTGAAGAGGAAATGCCTTGTCAAAGGGGGCCCCTACTCTCCAACTGACTCTGGCATATAAGCCTACCTATAATCAGAATTCATAGTCATGAATGTGAAATCTTTATATCTGGCTACAAATGTTTTAAAAAATGAAAAAGCATTGCAGGCAGACAAAACCCTCTGTGTGTCAGATTTACTTACCAGTTTGCAACCTCTGATAGGGACTCTTGTTTTATTATAAAAAAGGATGGCATTTAACAGTCAAATTCAAAATGAGGATAGTCATCACTTTTTAACTGAAACATTGAAGCTCATTTTTTGAATATGGGTGCTTAAAGTAGAATAGGCCATTCTATGTTATAAAGATGGAGCAGGTTTCTTATAACTGCTTCTCCCAAGGAGTTGTGGAAATAAATGAGAGATGAGGAGAGGAAAACAAAGATCTCTGGGCCTGTGTCTTAACTTCTTATTCCCAGGACCAAAGCTGATTCTGATTCATATCAGGAAACAAGTGAGCAGAGATAGAAACTGATGTCTTAAAAGTTAGGCAGTTTTGGTAGTTCCTGCAAACCTGATTGTCATTGGAGACAGACCCATGGCTGTACTTCCAGGAGCCATGCCCAAAACCATGCACAGAACTGGCCTGAGAACGCTGTCTGTGCTCTGCTGTCCTATGTAGCATTAGAGGAAACTTCCAGCAGAGTATCACCGATCTCACTTGACCTGGCCCCACTGCTCTCCCACAAAGCCCAACACTGTACAACCCAGGGGGCAGGAAGCAGGAAGCAGAGTGGCTTTATACTGTACTAGAGGCCTGGTGCACGAAAATCGTGCACTGGGAGTGGGGGATACCTCAGCCTGGCCTGCACCATCTTGCAGTCTAGGACCCCTCAGGGGATGTCCGCCTGCCAGCTTAGGCCTGCTCCCCGCGGGGATAGGATCTCAGCCGGCAGTTGAACATCCCTCTCTCATTCCAGGAGCCCTCGCTCCTTACTGCCCACCTGCTCACTGCTTGCCAGCTGTGAGCCTAGCCTCTGGCTGAGCGGCCCTCCCCCTGTGGGAGTGCACTGACCACTAGGGTGCAGCTCCTGCATTGAATGTCTGCCCCCTGGTTGTCAGTGTGCATCATAGCGACCAGTCATTCTGGTCGTTCTGCTGTGATGGTCGCTTAGGCTTTTATTATATAGATTGCTCTTTTCTGAGTCTTATGAGGATGTGTCTGGTAGAGCCCGATGACATGCCTACATACTAGCAGCAAGAGTTCTGGGGATTTTAGTTCTTTTGTCTACAACAGGGAGGCAGAACTCACAATCTGAGATTTTCTCAAATTAGTGAAAGATTTTTCAAAAGATGGGCTCTTAGGAACATAAAAGTATCCACTTATAGGACCCAGCTCTTTTTATTCTTTGAAATCCTGTTTTCTCTGGGGATTGTGGCTAGGTTTTTACACTTGGATGGAATTTGAACTTGATAATTTTTTTCCTTTTCATTTAATAAACATCAGGTGCCTTAAGTGTACCAGTCATCATTCTAGTTCTAGGATAAAGATGAACAAGAGATTTCCTGTTGTCATGGAGTTTACGCTTAAATGGGGGAGACAAATCAAGTAAATTATTAGTAAGTGCCATAAAATAAATCAAAATGTGATGTATCGAGTGGGGAAGGAGGAGCTATTTTGGATAGGTTAATTAGGGCTGATGTTAAACCCTGAATGGTGAGGAGCCAGTTAGATCTGGGAGAACATTTCTTACTGGGAGTGAAAAGACCCTTAAGCAAATAAATTTAGAATGATCAAGAAACTGAAGAGGCAAATTGGATTGTGAACAATTGGGGAGAGTAAAGAAGAGGTTTGAGATACAGAATATATCATGTAGGTTGTCGACCATAATAGGAATTTGGTGTTTATTCCAAGTAAAATAACAGCCAGCATTTATTGAGCACTTACTATGTGATTTGGAACTTGAATCCAGATGGTCTGGTTGAAGAGTTGTGCCGCGCCAGCACGGCCAAGGGTGAACCTGAGGAGGGGTGGTGAAGGATTGAAGAAAAGACAGACAAGAGAATTTAGCTGGGGCTCAGCGGATCTCCCGTGCCTGGATGAGGACACAAAAGACCCAGCCTGCAAGCTGATGCTTCATTTTATAGTCTCATTAAAACAAGGGTAGATGAACATGTATACAAATGTTCTTGTTTTGGCAACATTTGGTGCACCTCCCACAGCCCATTAGCTACTTAGGAAGGAATTAGGGAGGGCTACAAGGTCAGGCCTAATTATGCTAGGAGAGCTCTGCCCTCCAGGCTGGGACTTGTTTGTGGCTCTGCCACAGGTCAGCCCGAGGCTTGACCCTAGAGCCGCTCCCTACAAAGAGTCAGCAGGTGCCCTAAGCATTATGCTGACTATACTGACTCTCACTGAAAACTTGTTTTATATGTTTTCATCGTTGGAAAACTACGCCCTGATCACAGAGTGGAAGAGCTTGTATTTCAGATGGATAGAAATGTACGCTGATGCACTTGGTTTGCAGACTTCTAACACCCATGTGTCACATAGGTAATGTCCAGTTACCAATGAGTCACTTTGGTCAAGGAAAGTGAGAACGTCTCAACATAAAGCGTCACTACTGGTAACTAGAAGGGTTGCCAAGGAGGGGGATAGTCAAAAAAGGGCACTATGTCTGATAGTCCCTGTCCAAGGGGCTATGCCAATGCATACTACCATGCCTAAGAAAGGCTATTTCCCAACAGCTTAGCATAATCTTCAAACTTTTAGATCTTTGCCATTCTGATGGTTTTTTAAAAGTCTCATTGTGTTAATTTACCTTTTCATAAGTTTGAGCAGTTTTTCATAGCTTAAAAGTCTTCTCAAATAAAAAATACTGTTTATTTTTATCTCATTTTTTCTATGAGCTCTCATTCTTATTAATTTATTTAAGAAAGACCACTTGCGCCGAAACCGGTTTGGCTCAGTGGATAGAGCATCGGCCTGCGGACTGAAAGGTCCCAGGTTCGATTCCGGTCAAGGGCATGTACCTGGGTTGCGGGCACATCCCCAGTGGGAGATGTGCAGGAGGCAGCTGATCGATGTTTCTAACTCTCTATCTCTCTCCCTTCCTCTCTGTAAAAAATCAATAAAATATATTTTTTAAAAAAGAAGAAAAAAAAAGAAAGACCACTTGCAGGGGGGGAAGGGGAGAGAGTGGAATCTGCATTCCGTAGCAAGGGAGTTTTGAATTCCTTCATTCTTCAGACACTTATTGAAAGTCCACTACATATGTACCAGGCATTGGCCAAGTTCTGAGGAGACAAGATAATTGGGATTGTGGGGCTTGCCTGTCAGGTGTTCATAACTCATTTTACAACGTTTTACGTGTAATTTCCAGAGCCTTTCCCACCTACATGATTTCATTTAATCCTTCAACAACTCTGAGATCAAGGGAACTATCTTCGTTCACAGGCTCCTCTTATATGTTCTTACCAACAATAGACTTCCCTGAAATAGCCTAGTTGGGAGGGAGTCTTGTTCTCAAAGTGGAATCCTTCTGTCACTAATGAGGTCGGGCCCTCTTGTCCTTGTGGAACATTTTAGAAAGGATTCTATTGTAGACTGGGTGAATTTTTCAACTGTTCCCAAGTATTTCATGTGTCCTGATGGTCATCAGAAAACCTTTTTCTTTGGAGCCACGGTGAGACATTGTGAGCACAATGAATTACCACTATAATGAGGCTTGTACCCTGTTGGTCCATTGTTGATGGTCTCCAGATGGGGTCAGGCTCACTTGTGTATGGCCTTTGGTCTATTTTTAGAATAGATGGTTGGAGGCAGGGTACTTGGGACACCTATATCATT